TACCCATTCCAAATACAAATTCATGGCCAAAAAAGGAAATCCCAGAGAACATTTGGAAATGCAGATTAAGAAATGTCTTTCTTTCGAGGAACATGAGTTTTATCTAAAAACTAGACTAAAATGTTCAAAATATGAAAACAATAACCTCTAAATAAACATTCAGCTGACCATTCTTTGTAGGTGCAACTTTTAATAGAGCATGTGGGGCAACATGAGGGGATACACATGTCTAGAAAGTCAGTCATTGTAACACAACAGTTCTTATCACAAACATTTGTACATGTTTAACACACTGACACACACAGACTCACCGAGCTCCGATGGAGAAGCAGTTGTTGCGGTTTGGGTGGAGGCAGAAGAGTGAGGCCATGCAGTAAACACAGCACAACAACATGGACAGCAGTCGTCTCTTTAACGACATCTTTAGTCTGATAGAAACAAAAACGCAATCACTTTCAAACTGTCTGAAACAGACTGTGTATCAGAAATGCGGATTTGTGACTGCATGTGGCTGGTGGACCACCCTTTCTTGATCCTTCTTCCCTTTCTTGAACTCTTATTTTTCAAGAGCTTGACTTTAAGTATTCAAGATTTATGAAGTTTTTTAGGGACTATGAGTTTAGTGATATTTGTTTTTTACACTTCTGCCATTTAAAACTCTGGTGGCACTGAAGCTTATCTTCAAGATCTGGTCTATAAAACTGTTGAATCTACTTAGAGGGGAGAAAATAATCTGTAATGTTGCCATGTTTACCTCCCCCACTTATGTTAAGACAAACTGTGAACACATCACCAGTCTGAGAGTATAGCCTACTTTATTAAAATGACAGATCATGGGTAACAGAGTCTTTAAAAGAAACCTCATTTCTACAAGTTTAACAGGTTATTAGAGCTGTCCTCTGTGTGACCAGAACAAAAAGTGAGGAGTGGTAACATTCAATAACAGTTTAAGTATAATAAATTTGGTATTCTGTTCTTGTCTGTCTGTCAGTCAGGTCCAACCGCAAGACCTCTGATACAACTCTAACTCTGCTGCAGGCCACATTGTAACAACAATGGGAAGCAGAAGCTACATCCCTGCTCCTGTTAAATGCCAGACATCACCCTGAAAAACATCCCATAACATCACCTTAACAATCCTGTTCAGAAGAATTCTTTCCTGACTGACTGATCCTCCAAAACTGGAAAACTCCTCGCTTTGCTTTAAAAAAAAACACTCAGCAGCTTCTTCGAAACAGATCCCAGGTCCAGGTGGAGTTACAAGAAATTGTCACAGGGGTTGGGGGTTGGTGTTGGCAAAGGTGTAAACAGGATCCTGGCTCCCTGGGTGCTGCTGGGCACTGGGCACAATTACTGCTGACCCACACTTTGTTTTGAAAGGTCCTGAAAGGTCTAGCAGGGGTGAATAACATTCCTGCATTGTGTGTCCGTTGGAGCTATTTTGGCTTGTTGGGAGCCCGGGGGGGGGGGGGTTTTAAAAAGGGATTTTCCTCCCCTTACGGTTGAGTGTTGGGGTTTGAGGATTGGTGTTTGTGGGACTGAATGGGAAGTGTGAAAACGCTCAAAGTCAGGGCTAACAGCATTCAGACATTTACCTAACCGCAGTTTCTGTAGGTTGGTCTAAGCTCCGGTTATGTCTAACCTTTTCATACTGTGGACAGAGTTAATGACAGATTGTATTTTGCACTTTTTTCACGCCTTGAGAAGACAAAGAGTCTACGGCATGCAGAGTTCAGTGAGGCTAACGCTGTTAAATGCGATTTCTAGAAAGGAAGCTTTACCAGGTTTCACCATCGTGCTTGGGTTTACAGATTTACATGTAACCGAGTTCATATGTTGGGTAATAATAAAAACAAACAAAAATGTAGCAGTTAAAAAAGAAAAGATTACAGTTACATTAAGTAAAATATGTATTATTACTCTTGAGTAAAACCATAAGCTTACAGTTGACAATTCATTATAATGGCCTCTAGTGACAAAAATGTTCACTGGGTGAAAACTTTGCCATTATTTTGACTTTAAAACAGAAATGGGAACAACATTATAATAGAGTGCAAGTTCTGCTTTCCAGCTGTGAAAATGGTCTCTGGGCTACTGCCTGAATCTGCTTAATGAAAAGCAAGTTTTTCTTTAAAAACCCACTGAGCAGGTTTATAAGGTGACATTGTTCTGTCGTCTTATAGAATTTCTTTTTTTTCAGTTTTGGTTGTTGGCAGACAAATGTAAGGAACATAAATTAAGATGTTGATGATCAGCGTAAAGTATGTGAATAAGTAGCTTCACCGTGTTCTAGTAAATAAAATGCACTTAAATAAACGTTCAAAGGGAGGGAAGTGGTAGTAAATTATGGGTGAAAACCCGACAGTTTGGGCAATCATTTTGGATTTCTGAACAATCACTTCCGATACGTTCCAACCCCAATGTCCTGTTTTAACTGGAAATATGTTGATTTATGGAAGCAAGTGAAATGCTGTTTCCTTGAGACTTTGACATGATTAATGAAGAAGTTCTCTAAAACACAAGAAACAAAAAGGTTTTTGGCATACACAAGGATGTCTCCAGTCACTTGTTTTTCCTTTAGTAATTTTAGACTATAGACGCTGGTGTGGTGCCAGGTGATGTTTTGAGTGTGTGCAGCGAGAATGCATCATTAGCCAGATCTATCTGTGTGTGAATCTTAGTGGAAAATGGTCCCATCATGTCTCTCCTGGGGACTCTGGAGCCAGAGCGAGACAGCAGCCAGCAAGGTTAGAGTTTAACTAAGGCCATTCAGCTCTGTACAGCCCACAAACACTGCCAATAGCGTACATGCATTAGTCCACTGTCTACAGGTTTACAGGGATGTCCTCAAGAAAATGGAAAACATTTTACATTTACATCATGACTCCATAAAGGGTTGGAATAGACTCAATATATCTCTACTCAGCTCCACTGGTAATGTTCCTGTATGTTATTGCACTACAGGACACTCATGTACATTAAAGCTGCAGCCTGCAGAGCACACAGCCTGCTTGAGTGCACACTGATAAGATGCTGTCACACTCATACTGTGTTTTACCTGCGCTATATAGACCACCAAATCTGATTTTATAAACTAGAGGAATCAATAAAATGCATGAAAATATTGAGAAATAAATCTACAAATGTGTAATACAATAATTCCACATTATTATATTTTAAAGGGTTTCATCTCTGGATTCATGTTTCTTCAGTGGAATTAATTTTCTTCCTGCATGGTGTGATTTAGATGTAAATGAACATGTAGTTTGGTGTTTCCTTCTTTAATATGCATATCATTGTATGGTGGCCTAATTTACATTTAAATGTACAGTAAATGTACATTGCATTTGTGATGCTGCTTGATACCATAAGATGGTGTCATGCAAAGCCTTACAAGGAACATTTCCATCCTGAATGGAAACCCTGGAAATTCACTGGAAAAACTGTAAGCAGATGGCTCACAAGACAACAGATTTTTTTTTCCAACTTTAAATTCTCATTCAAAAGTTTCCTTTTGATGATGTTCTTAAAGCAAGAAACCTTTGCAGAACAGCAGTACAGTAAACAGTAAACCATGGCAGAGACGAGTCAAGAAGTCTTCAGACTATCTCAGAAATGTGTTACATAGCAATACCTACCTTAAGTTTGCTAACATTAGGTAAAATTTGCCACTATGAGCTAACTAACCAAGTATGGCTGCAGCAACGAAACCCCTGTGTGTAGAGAAATAACTTAGAGTGTGTTTTATTGCTCATGAATTTAACTTTTCTTATTATTAATAAGAGTAAGACCGTGTTACTTCTTTCTAAAGTTTCTCAACACAGAAACACAAGAGTCTCCAGGGTAATGTTATGCTTTATGTTACGGCTATTAGTTCTAATTATTTCAACTTCCTCTCTGAGAAATTGTGTTTTCTCTGTCAGGATGCCCATGACCCTGTAAATCATTGTTGCTGCAGAGAAGAAGTCTGTCAGAGGTGCAATACAGAATCTAGCTGCTGAACACTGCAGCATATTTGCCGAATTAATCCCAAATTGAGAATGTATACCACTTTAAACTACTGTATTTAACTGCTTAAATTTAACTTAATGTTAATTGAAATTGTCGTCACTTAAACTTATAATGTAATTTCTTTCCTCACAATTTTGACTCTTTTCTTACAGTTGCTTATCTTTTCTACTGATGAGTCAATCAGGAATTGTATGTACAACCCTCCAATTGTCAGTCACATAACACATCTTTGAGAAAACAGGATTTTTACTTCTGGAACATTGGACAAGTCAGTGAATGTTCACTATAGTTTGGTTCAACGTTATTTTCTATAGTTCTGTGATGACATAATGCATTGCATTTGAGGCATACGGTTAAAAAAACAATGACTGAACCAGATCAACAGACATTTTGACGTATCATAGCAGGAAAAGTGTTAATGTGTTGCTAATAACATTAACAATGGTTCCATTTTACTGAAGTGTCCCAGTAAGCCACAACAGTCTGACATTGAGCCAGCATGAACAATTCAGTGACTATGAAAGTGAAGTAGCTAAACCATCCTTAAATGTATTATTTACTCTGGTGCTTTTTCTACTGTGACCTGTCAAAATGTCGTCTTGGAAAAGCCCTGTAGCCAGTCTACACTAATTTAATTTATTTATTCCCTAATCATGCAAGGTTTGGTTCTCCAAAGAACATTAACCCTAACTAAACCTTGGTTAAAAACATCTTCTTAACTAAAAATTGGAAATACTGTAAATATAATAAAAATAGAGATCTTCCTGCTTGCAGGGAGCCAGCAGGCAGGCGGCTGGGACAAGGGTCAATCCCAGGGAGGCAACAACAGCAACGGATGAGCAGCGGAAGGGTATGTATGTGTTTGTGCTGGTGTGTGCGCCTGTGCATGTGTGTGTGTGTGTGTATGAGGGGAGGAGACAAGCAAGACTAACTGATAAAGCTGTGACTGTTTTTGTCCTTCTGCATTGAAGGGATTTTAAGGACACTGATGAGAACAGTTAGATCGAACGGATGTTTTAGCAACAGATTCACTTTTTTAAACTATGATATGCATCACCGAGGAGACATTACACGACACCGGATTAACGTAACAGGACAATATTGGCTAACAGGATTCTTCATCAAGTTTCAAGTTTTAACCGATTTTATGTTTTAGCATTTGTGCAAATCTCAATTTTTTTCTAGCTCAAGTACATTTTGTGTTATGTTGGACAATGGCTGTAAAGGATAAAACTGTTTCTGATGGCAGCAGTGTCAGCAAATCTTAAATGCATATACATTTTGTGAATTTCACCTTCAAATCTTTGGGTTTTTGTTATCAACATGTCATATTTGTGTGGACATGCAAGCACTGAGCCCTCTGTTAGGATGAGTCCTGACTGTATGCACTCCAATGAGTCGACATCCCAAAGCGACGTGAGGCCCCGAGTGATGGGTCTGATCCTGAGCATCGCCTCTTGCCTCATCATCTCCACCAACCTACTGGTGGCAGCAGCTCTTCTTAAGTTACTCCTCAAGAAGAGCAGCCAGAGCTGGTGCTTTGTCCTCAATTTGGCACTGGCTGACGCCCTGGTGGGTGTGGCCATCACTGGTCTAGCCACAGAGGACTTCAACAACAACAGCAAAAATATCACTCAGAACCAGTACAGCCATATCACTGCTGGTCCTCCCACAAACGCCACGCCTCCTGCTCAGGGCAAGACCCGGTGTTTGATGCGGATGGCCTTTGTGACATCGCCCTGCACAGCATCCATCATGTCCATGTTCCTGATCTCACTTGACCGCTATGCAGCCATAAAGATGCCCCTGCGGTACTCTCAGCTCTCTGGGAAAGGGACAGCAGTCGGGTCCCTGCTAGCTCTGTGGATCAGCTCTCTGATTCTGGGATTCTTGCCAGGTGAGAAGTAAAAATGTACAACAGATTAATTAATTTCTATCTTAATTAAATGTATGGTGTGTTAGACCAAAAGAATAGCACTGCATTTAAAAATGCAAGCAGCTTGCTTTTGGGTTTCTTTTAAAAGGTACTGATGAGAAAATGTCTGAGAGTTTGAGTAACATGTCCTTGTGTCCAAAGGTTTTTCACAGGCATCTTGCTTTTTAAACTCCATGGTTATCAGGTAAACAGTAGAATTATGCCTATTATGTTGTTATGTAAAATAATCCACCAGGAATGTGCACTCGCATCTGTCTGAGTATGTCCAGATCATTCACAGCCTGGGCTACTTTATGCTGTTACCATAACAGATAAAATGTATCTGTTATGGTAACAGCATCTCACTAGTTCTCGACTCCTTGAACAGACACCTTTTGACAGGGCTACTAAATAGCAGCAACAGGTCTGGTTTTCACCAACAGCTCAGGACATCTTCAACCTGTAGCATAAAGACTGGAGACTGGAGTAAATAGCTAGCCTATTTAAAAATCTGCTTACTATTTTGTATTTAGTTTTTTTTTAACCCATACTGAAAAAGAGATTTCTTTACACTGCTAGTGGGGTGAAGCTCAAACATGACTGACTGCTGCTGAGTGATTTTTCCGTATTATTTTAAGTTATAACTTTTGGGGAAACATTGGATGGCATTTTTGTTTTTGTGTATATTAATGGACTTCAGGGACTGTTTTCTTGACAGTCCAAGAATGCAAGTTGTAGTGTCATATGGCGAATAACCCGTCTCCTCTGTTCCGCAGTTATGGTGCGGCAGCTGCAGAGGGATGTCTACAGCGGCTTCTGTGCCTTTTTCTCTGTTATTGAGGTGGGCATGATTGCGTTATTTAGCGCATGCTTCTTTCCTGTGCTCTCTGTATTTGTTTACATCTACATGGACATCCTGAAGATCGCCTGCAGCCACCAGAAGCAGATCTGCCAAGTTAGGCAAGCCGGTTCTAGGACGGGTGACCACCAGAACAATCAACATCATGAGCATCAGCATCATCAGCAGCTAAGGAGCGGCTACTGGAGTCATGTCAAGGCTCTGAGGACAGTGGCAGTGCTCGTGGGCTGCTTCTTGGTCCTCTGGTGCCCATTCTTTGTGGCATGCATAGTGCACCTTCTGTGTGAAACCTGTGAACTCACTGACGTGTTGGAGAACTATCTTTGGCTCTTGGGTCTATCCAACTCACTGATCAACCCTCTGGTCTACGCCTTCTGGCAAAGGGAGGTGCGGCTGCAATTAGCAGCCATGTTTTCCTGCTTTACAGGCAGCTCGTTGGCTGTTGGACCACCAGGTGTCGCCAAAAGAAGTGACCCGCCACCTGTGCTGACTCCAGCTGGTGTTCCTAGTGGAGATACCCTCAACCCTTCACTGTTGCAGTCAGTTGTTGACCATGACAAGACTCACATTGTGCCTCTGTCTGCCACAACCAGCTTGTGAAAGAAACTGGATGGACTATCAATGTGATTTTCTAGATAATCTAGACACTGTGGCTGTAGAGTTATTACAAAGAAGTTAAAACTTACTTTAAGAGCTGTGAAGAGTTTCTTGCCTCACCTTTTCTTTCTGAAAAGCTGAAACACATTCCTATCCAGATTTGAAAAGAAATGAATTTCTACCAGATGGTAAAATGTGTCGACCCCTTAATTTTATCCCAGCTAAAACCCTCACAAGGTGAATATCTTTGTTCTAAAATTAAAACCATGAATGTGAGAGCTACTTCTGAATGTGTGTACTAATTTGACCTTAACTTTTACTTTAAATTGATACATGAATTAAAGTGAGTTTTAAATCTTCAGCACTGACCTGCGCCCCGTCATCAAGATGTTTTTGGGAAACAGGGCATTGATCAGAATAGAGGTCTGCAAGCCAAAAAAAGTATTAAGTATTACATTCCATATTAAATTTACAATGGTACACTAATTCATACAGACCTGTCCTTGTCTCCCTCCATCACACATGCACCATTCTGCAACGCAATCACTCTGTCCCCTACTGCCCGATTTGGCCCAGTTCCATTAGGCCTAAGCCTGTTCATGGCCTGACGGTAATAAAGTTTTTAAAGTCAAACCTTTCAGAGTAGCTTCAGACTAGCCATCATCATGTGTTCAGTACTAATGTATTTGCAAAATATGTTTGCTGTAAACAAATAACGGATATGTGGGATTCCCATGAGCCTCAGCTGTACTCTGTATTAAGTTCAAATTAGCAAATATTAGTGTGCTTACACATCAGAAGATGATGATGAACATGGTTTACCTTATACCTGCTAAATATCAGCGTCATATTTGAGTGTGTTAGCATGCTGTCGTTAGCATTTAGCTTGACTTTAAGACATGTGGAAATTTTAACAATCATTTCTAGTTTTTATTTGCCTAATTATGATAATATTGTACATACCAAACTAAAAAACACATGATGATCAGGTTTTAAACAGAACCCCAGGTAAGCCAAGCTTGTGTGGAAAAAATGTACACAAGCTATGAAACGAAGATCCAGGTAACCAGAAACCTTCTTTCAGAACACACTAATGTAACATGAGATTGCATACAAGTTATCGTATATAAAGTAGAGCTCCATGTTAAGGCCAAGTTTACCTAGACTATGGCCTCTCCCTGGTGTTCACTCTGTTGAATGATAGTGGACAGGAGCCTCATAACAGTGATAGCACCACAGTATTATTTAGAGAGATTTGTTCCATAATTCCCAGTGAAAGCAGTGGAGTCAGAGGTCAGTGGCAGCAGAGGCAGTTCCGGTTTCACAGAGTGTGACATTCATTCCTGATAAGTCCACAAGGGTTCAGGCCTGTCCTACTGTAGAATAAGTAAGTACATGAGGGGCGCTCACTGACCCTTTGAGCCCTTTATGCACACTAAGATCCCGCAGAGATTTGCAGAGGACACAGCCTAGGAAAAAAAAACACAAGAAAGGGGGCTATAATGTAAAAAACGGAAGAAAATATAAAATAAAAATTGTTTTCCCCTGGGAGCATGATTTTTTTGTTAGTGAATACAGGCAGTGATGCCTTCCAAAAATGTTTAATTAAAAAACAAATATATTTTACACATGAACAACATAAATATTTATGAAATATGAACCTCATTTTATTGCCACAGATCGCCTCATACCCTGAACAACATTTCTAATAAGTAAATCATGTGGGGCCTTAAAAAACAGTCACACATTTACACTAATGCATTTATGTATCTATACCATAAACATTAACATTCAAGTCTCTGTAATGTGACAGCTGTAATATATCCAATTTGGCGCTATAGAAAATACAAATAGCTGAAAAACAAGCATGGATGCGACACGTGTGTGTCAATTCAGGTAATTTAAGTATAGCGCTATGTTGACCATTAAAAGTATTTTTACCCTTGACACGACCAGCTCTTCTGAGTCAGAGCTCTTCAGTCGGACAGAACGTCTTGAGTTGTCTAATGACGCAAATGCAAAGTTGTAAACATGGGAATCTTTACAATTGCTACCATCCCACCTCTTGTTAAGTTAATAAAAGCCTCTTGTTTTTTATTTAATTTGGCAGGTAACAATAGTTTTGGGGCATTTGGATAGTTTCCACCAACAAAAAGCAATAAATCGACCCGTCTTCTCATCCAAGTAGCATGATTGAGAGTGACTGAATCAGCTTCACACACAATAACTAATAACTGATGGCATTCAAAATCAAATGTCATTTCAGTTTATTACAATTTAGTTCTCTCTTTTCCCATTCCAATTATTATCGGTTATTATTATTCATATCGTAGCTCTGTGATACATGACTTGTGAAAGCTTACATCTGTTCATATAATGCTTAATTTATCATTATCAAAAAGACTTTTATAGACTTTTACATTTTATTTTGACTTTTATTATCAATTTTTCCTCATTATAACCATGGTTTTGAGTTTGTCTAATACAATTGGGTGGATTCTATGCTCTAATTGGGCTACTTTTTGTCAATAAGACAACACTGTTCAGGACTTGGGTTATAACTAGTCACTGATGTGTGCCAGTGTCTCACTGAAAGACAGCAGTAATTCGAGATTCAGAAGTTTTAATTGCTGAATTGACAGTTGCCAGGAATTTATTTTGGTGTGCCCTTCATGAAGTTAAAACTGTCCAGGTTCACCATCCGAAAAAAGAAACTAATATTCTTATTCAGCATTTGAGTTTTTCTCTAAAAATTACTGTATTCTGGCTTCAGACTTGTCTCTTCTGTGCCATGTAACCTGAGGCTGGACAGATCACAGATAACATGTATCAAAGGTCATGAGACAGACTGGAACCCACAACATTATACATAAATTGTGTGCCTTAGCCCTCTGACCCGCTTTGTTTTATACTGTTTTATTATATCCATGTGATTTAGTAGCTTTAAACCGATGGTTCTAAGATAGCAGACGCGCCAGGCGTTTATCTGAGTGATTGCTATTGCGCATGTTATATTTTATAGCTGGATAACTATTCAGTCATGGAAACTTCCTCGGCTGCTTGAATCTTGATAAATATCCTCCACTTTACGTGTCAGCAGTCTGTATCAACAAGGCGGTTGCACCATGTGATGTCAGAGATTTCTATGCGAGAGATAGTTAACATTTACTTTAGACTGACAGACTGCGGTCTGTCTAAATAAAGCTTAATCGGCTGAGCTGGAAAAAGAGCTAATTTATCTTTGTTTTTTTCATTTGTCATATATATTATGCTGTTATACATCTAGGCTTTCAGCGGTGCCCAGAAGGATCATGCTCGGTCATTTGTGTGTTAACCTCAAAAGGGCCTTTGGTTTTGAACATATCACTGTAAATTAAAGGCAAAATCAGATTTCATTGAACCCTGGTCTTATTCTAATAATATTGTTCATAATTTCTACAGTACCTGAACTGTGAGTAATTGCATTGTTGTGTGCACATATATTTGCTGTGAAATGTGGGATTATTACCTAGATTTTGGATGCTCACGCATTTTAGTCTTAACCTTGCTAAAATAGCTGATCAACCTGTCGTTTCTTGCCAGTAGGAAGCAATTGAACGATTTTCCCATATCAAAGTAATGACTTTATATAGTCATGCCAATAAAGCCTCTTTGAATTTGACATTGGTGAGTATAATGTTATGACTTGTTATAGAATAGCGAAAGAAATGATGGTAGTTTTTTAAAATATCATTTGGGTCTTTTTTATTGCCGTTATAGAGTGACAGGAAAGTGAGGAGAGAGGGGATGACATGCAGCAAAGGACCACTGGTCAGAATCGAACCCATGCTGCTGTAATAAGGTTTTTGTACATGGGTCACACGCTCTACCAGGTGAGCTAACAGAACCCCCTTGATAGCCATACGTGATGTACAATTTTCTAGGTATTTAGTTGACAAGTTTGCCCACCTCTGATGGTATATGAGCAGATGTTATAGCAGTAAAAATGAATTGTATGAAACAGATTTAAAACCAAAATGCTAAATATTTACTAACAAACTGCTGACAAATGTGACAAAGAATCAATAAAGGAAAACACGCGATTGTTTCACAATACATTTGGCTTTTTACAAAGACATGCAGACTGTTGGGATGTCAAAACAAATATTTCAAATTGACAGGAATGCTCGCTGAAACTGTTATGACTGTAAATGAAACAAAAAATCATCCAACTCATCAACTCAGACCTACCAACCCAAACAGTTTGGTAATCGCAACTCCAGCCCGAGGTAGTTGTTGAATGTGTGTGTTTGTGTGCGTGTGCATGTGCTAGCTGCGCTGCTGATTCTGCATCCTCAGCGGGCTGAAGAACGGGTGCCACAGCGCCTCCTCCAGGGTGATCCGTCTGTAGACGTCGTACTGCAGCATGCAGCTGAGCAGGTCAAATAGCTGCCTCTCGTCCTCGGTCTTCCTCTGCATGTACAGCTAAGAGACACACAGACACTCACAGTTAGTGACCTTCTGCAGCTACCTCCTCTACCTCATGGCTGCAGGTAATTGGCTAATCTGAGTGCTGTGTAGCTACCTTTAGAGGTTTACAGTGTTTCCTTAGGTAATCATCAGAGGAGTTCTTCTCTGCCCAGTTCAGACGCTCGTTGTGCACGTAATGCTGCTTTCTACACACAGCACATACACATTAGTGGTTAGTTTCAGGTAAGATAGAAACTCCATTTTTCAACTCACTTCCTCCCCGCCAGCACTCCATTTCAAGTCACACTTGCAGCTGTGGAGAGCACATTAAGAAACGGCATGTGGCACTCAATCGTAAACAGGAAACAGCCATTACCATGAAGACCAAACTGGATAATTAGTGCCACCAGCTGTTTATCTTGATCTGCTGATCTCCTAATATTTGTATACTAGATGGAAACGATTCAAATTTGCACAACATTTGAATGTAAACTTGTTTTTTGTGTTCAACATAGCATACAGACTATTCATCTCTGTGCCAGTTTGGTAGTTTGGGCACCAAGTAGAGATGCCTCCTATGAGTACTATTGACCCTGGAGACCCTGAGGCTGATCCAGATCACCTCCTAACTGGCCTTGGAGATCTGGGGGACTGAAAGAGGATGTGGATGGAAATTGATAGTTGAGCTACTCTGCTCACCTTTATGTCACCTCGTCCCTGACCAGGACAAGCAGGTTTGAAAATGGATGGATGGATGAATTGATTCTGAAATAGATTTTTTTTGAGCCCATAGAACCTAATGTTTAGCTCAAATTCATTTAGGGGCAAAGTAGTATTTTCTCTTTTTTACTTCTTGCTTAAATCTGCATCATTGTTTCAGAGCAAAATATAAGAGCCATTACAGTCAACTATACAGTCTGTAAAGTCAAAGAATATACAGAGGGTATACGTGTGTGGTTACCTGGTCTGTTTCAGCAGGTGTGGGGGGATCGGTCCCAAGACTTTCTCCATCATGGCCAGATGTTCCTTACTGTCGTGGGTCTGAAACAACAGACAAGGCAGGGCAGTGAAACCTACTACTGTTTCTTGTGTGTGTGTGTGTGTGTGTGTGTGTGTTTGTACATACCATGAACAGTGAACGTCCCAGGTAAAACTCCATGAGAACGCAGCCCAGACTCCAAACATCACACGACTGGTTCCAGCCCAGATCTGAGCACAACACACACAGTTAAAATTACAAACATGGATTATTTGCCATGCAGGTAAACCAATCCACTTTCTTAGTTCTGTGTGTGAGAGTTGTGTGTGTACCCAGTATGACCTCTGGAGCTCGATAGTGACGCGTTGACACCAGGGATTCATGGTGTTCGTGGTCAAATGTGGCGGTCCCAAAATCCACCACCTTCACATCCAGTCTTCTCAGTTTCCGCTCCGCACAGTTCTGACACACGCACAAACACACACTGCTAAACATCCTTCACTGCATGGCAAACACTGAAATGACAGTGTGACGTATCTGGGTTTGTCTGTTTGTTTGAACTCTTACCGTCTCGTCATTGTACTCCAGGTCGTAGTCGGAGCACACAAACAGGATGTTCTCTGGCTTCAGGTCTGTGTGAGTCAGCTTGTTACGATGCAGGACTGTAAAACACACAGACAAAAAAACACATAATTGTGTGCTTGTTAATTTTTTTTTTCCTTTCAAGATCGCCACCACCAATAATGACGGGGTCAAGGGTCAGAAGTCACAGGGCGTGGTAGAAAGTGGCTAACATACACACTTGACTCACAGCAGACGGCTTTGAAGATCTGGAAGGCCATGTGTCTGATTTGCTCCACACTGAACGGCAGGAACTCGTTCTGTCGGAGGAACTCGAAGGTGCTGAGGCCGAGCAGCTCGAACACGATGCAGATGTGACCTTCGTGCTCGAACCAGTCAAGCATCCTCACACAGGCGCTGGCAGGAGAGAGTGAGTGATCCATAAACATGTGGCGTAGCATTTGGATAACTAAAAAGCTGAAGAATTAAAATGCTATTTATGTTGACAACTTATTTAGCATGCATTAATGGAACCAAACAAAACCAAAAACCCAGCTTACCTTAGCTTTAGCCAATAAGCAAAACAAGAACATGATTCATGATTTGAATGCTTTTAGTTAGATTTAGTCTAAGGGTCTGTTGCAGCTCTACTCACAATCTGTTGTCATCATCCAGGTGGTTGATCTCCTCCAGCACTGCAATCTCAGACCTGGCTACTTCACGGAAACACTCAATGTTTCTCACAATCTTCACGGCTACATGCTCCTCTCTGTTGAACACAGATAGGTGCACACAGGCACACAAAAAAGAGTAACTGCACTAATGCCACAAAAACCCAAAGATAAGCAGCATAGCCATCCAACAGTTAGAAGGTCAAGGTTCAATCAGCATGCATGCTTACTTGTCTCTATCAATACACTCGACCACTTTTCCAAAGGCTCCTGCCCCCAATGTACATACCACCTCATCTGGGAAGGACAGACAGACATAATGGCTTGGGTGAGCAGTGTCTTAAAAAGGCAAATGGTCAGTGCAACTGGATCAAGAGCCTGAAACTAACTTTAGTGAATTCAGAATCGCCTTTGAAGCAAGAATCAATTCTCAGTGGAATCATGGCTCCAAGATTGGGAATTGAATCAAAATGTGAGGTCGCCAAAGTTTAACAATAATCCCTTTTATGTTTGGTTTTCTTCTAGTTCAACTACAGTCTGTATATACAAGTAAAACACATACAGTCTAATGACATACAAGAGGCCTCCAGTCAAACCCAAACTAGATCTGCTCTTACACCACTGGTAATACTCCTAACTTGAGCTACGTGACAGTTTACATGAGAACTAATTTACTGTAGAAATCTTAAGTGTGATGGAGACACTGATGGGTATAAATGCAATGTTGCCTACATCCAGTATTTCTGCACAAAGGACATTATTTAACAAGTTGCTGGTGGTGTGAGCTCACAGTTAGCTTTGTGTTACCCTTTTAGAAAGCTATGACAAGGACAGAAAAGACACTAAAGACAAAAGGTTGGTGTCATGTACATCTTTCTTTCATCACGAGACCGATGTGATAGACCAGGTGGCCCTCTTCATCATCCTCACAGCTCTTTCCCCTGTGACTCCTGTTTACTCCATCATCAACGTTGACAGCATTGTCACCAAGAAAGGCAGATTCAAGCTGGAGCGCGATGTCATCAGGCTGACACATGTTTTCAAGACATACAGGTCGACAAGACATATTGGAAAGAGAAATAGGTCACTCTGTCACAAAAAATTACTTAATTCCCATGGGGAACACTTTGAATCACACAAATCATAAGAAACCACCAAACATGAAAAGCCCAGTGTCAACAACCAGAAACAGTGATTTCACAGATTGAGTCATATAAGAAACAGGAGAGTCTGAGTATATGGGTTTCTAAGGATCTCTAAGGAAATACATCCCTATATTGAAAGCTCTCACAATGGCTAGCAAACAGTTCCACACAATTTAAGTAATTAAAATGTTTAGTCCCATATTTTTGGCTACTTTAGTTTCATAGCTGGCATGTCTGCCTGAAATCCAACTCACTTTACACCTTTGTATTAGCTAATATGCATAGGTGTAAATAAGCCAAAAGTGTTATTTTAGTCCATAAAATACTAAACAAAATCCTACTATATATATATATATATTAGAAATCAAAATGTTGAGTGAACATCCAAGCTCACAGTCAGACACAATCTGGGAGAAAGATAAGGGCAAACAGGAGGAGGAGAACCATACCAAGTTACAGATATCTGGGGAGTTGCACAGTGTGCGCGGATTGAAGCTTCCCATCTTTCTGTCAGCATGGACGTCTGTTTTGGGGTTATCACCGTCTACCAGCAGAAACAGACAGAAAGGTGATTTCCTGCTGGGTGAGTACATTTGAAGCAGTTACTGTGAACAGTCTCAACAGAGACAACAAGCACCACTGGCATCATAAGAAGGTGGGTCATGATTTAGATTCAGACACATGCTAGTGAAACCACACACACACACACACCTACACACACACACACACACACACACACACACACATACACAAACAAATGAAAACCTCTCAAACATACAAGTAAGAAACATTTAAAGGTTCTATTTACAACATTCACTGACTGTAGATGTTGCACACGATCAACAGCATCTCAGATCAAACGAATGGGCGCAATAAACAGAGTTGAACTGCTTAAATTGGTGATGACTAGAAAGCTGAGACACATACTTCATGCCACCCCTGCTGCATAAGTCAATGCCACTTGTGTCATAAAAGGCTGGAAACGCCCCTGGGACTCACATGCACTAGCATTCATTAACTCACAAACACCAATGATCATGAAATACACAAATATACTTTTATATATGACTAAATACTTATTTGTTGAGATCTTATCGATTTGAGTTATAGTAAAAATCAAACACATTGTTGCTAATGAAGAGGTAAACAGAAGAGCTAATGTCCAATTTTCTTGCAGTAGGCTATAATTGATTTCCAAAACCTCTTTCAACTGACACTCTAAGATGAATAATATGGGTAATGGTTAATGCACAGAAAGAGTGGACTATTTCCATTAACTAGAAGAAAAAAACATATTTAATATACAATATATATTTTGTTTCAGTGTCCTTGAGACACTCCTACATACTAGACATGATTATGACAAAAACACATAATATGGTTACCTCTCAAAGAACAATAGTTGTTGTCATTCCTGCCCATAGTGCTGCTGTACACATTGGGCTCTGTGAGCATAATTTTCTCCCTCCTCTCCAGCCTATGGAGGTGATTGCTGGACAGATAAGAAGAAGAAACAAGTTCCTTAATGTAAGTCCATGCTAAAGGCTATATCTGCACTGGCAATCCTGCGAAGCTGATAAGTAACACAGTTTTTGGATGCATAAAACATGGACAGACGGACAAACTTTGGTAGGGTTTTGTAAAGTTTGGTCTGAAAGTGGCATGATGTCAGAGAAAATGCAATATCAAATAGGTTTATCCTCTGCGGTTGCCAATTTAGGGTATCTAACACACACATAGTCAGACTTGCCTGAAAATTTGACATTCAATAAAAAGTCAAAAAGGGGTTATTGGGATTCATCCTCTTGGAACTAAAATGTTTATAGACCTACCAAATGTCAGGAAAGCCATCCAATAATTAGAGAGATGCTAAATTCTGAATAAAATTGGGCAGCAGGCTCAATGACTGACCTTTACCACTAGCTAACAAGACTAATAATGCATTCCTTGAACATACAACGCGATTAACATCATGTTCTTCCATAGTGGCACAAGTAAAGTGATTCGAAACATAGTTGAGGAGAGCGTTATAACTTACAAGATCTGTTGCTGCACCTGAATGAATAACCTCCTAAAAGAAAAGATCAAAAACTCTTCCTCTGTTGTTCTGCCACGCTTTGTAAAGGTACAAAAGTTTCACTGGAACAAAAGAGAGAGGTGCAACTTCACAGCTCTTCTGCAGCCTGCAATTTAAACCCTCCGTCCCCTGCAAGCCTTGATCTACAAGTGCAAAGGCTTCCCAGTCTCCTCAACCCCTGATTCTCTCTTCTCTGTTTTCAAAGCTATACATAGTGTTACATCCCTCCAACCTACAAACCTATTGGTGTCTCTATCTCCAGGGCTTTCCCTGGCCTTTTGGAAAAGGCTTAGTTACGACCCCTGAGCCAGAAGGGCAATTTCCAGAAGGGCGAGAAGATAACATGAAACTATAATGGTCTCGGTGGGGAAATTAAGTTTTTAGAGCATTTGATATAAGTACTATAGAATAGAAACAAGCATAGAGCATTAATTCAGTAGAACATAGGTTGGATTTTGAGTTAACAATGGAATTCTTTTGCTTTATTGAGTTGATTTATTCATGTGAGGTGATGATTTGAAGTTAGCTACCGTTAAAATGTGCAAATCTTTTAGCAAGTAAGAATATAAACAATAACTCTGGGACTAAATAAAGGTTATTTTCTTATTTATCTGGGCACTGTAGTTTTTAGCAAACAGTAGCAGGGCAGTTTATTTGGGATTGGCTCAAAATAAACTAGTGTGACCATGTTCATGGCCATGAAAGATCATGTCACCCAGTGCAACAGTGTGGCTCACTGTTTTGTGGGGTTTTAATTGTTTCTGGACAACAATGGAGCTTTATGGCAAAGAGGAATGGGCTTTATCAGGATTTGGATGCACAGACAATGCTTCTTAGCAAAATCAAATCAAATTGGTTTCGGTCTGACAATAAGAAAAATATTGAATATTGTCTTATCGCCTTTTAATTCAAGGAGCTAAATCAGATTGTCCACGGGTGATTGACATCTCGACAACAGTATGTCCACACATGTCTACAAGTTTACAGTTTGTGGCAGCAAATCCAGTGAAAACCTCTCTGTGTACCTTCAACAAATAGTTGACATTCCATTCATGGTGGACGTTTCTCTCTTGCTCTGAGCTATTTCTTATTCATCTTTTCGTCACCTCCTCGTCCACTCCTTCAGTAGGCCTGTATCAGATGTTAAACCTGTCACCTATGACCTGCAAGTAATTATTTGACAGATTTGAATATTCCCATTTGTCTGCACTTTTTCAAGACGGAGGATGTAAAGAAATAGCAAGAATTGTCTCTTCACAGATACATATTTTAAATTCTAGATACATTTTCTGCCCCCCAAAATGTTGTTTTTTAAATGTTTTTTAATATATATACCCATGTTTTGTACTGTCCTCTAGTGTATACTGAAATATTTAGTTGACTGGTGGCCAATGAGAAGGACCTTTTTATAGCCAACAATGTGAAGGATGGTTAGTCGTTTCAGAGCAGGGATCCCCTCCTCCCTCTCTCAGAAATGGATCTGTCTCTCCATGCCGCCCAGCTCAGCTGTCTCTCATTCACTGTAAATCAGCACTGAGGACGACTTGCTCTTGCTGACAACCTGCAGGACCGTTGTCACTTACTTAAGATCCTCCAACACTCACCACTCACCAAGCCATTGCCAGGAGCGTAGAGGGTTTCACTCTGCACACAGCTTGATGGAGAAAACGGGTGGAGGGGGGACTTGATGTATCCAGAACGTCCTAGTTTACATGAATACTTTAAAACTAGACTGACATGGAGCTCATCTTTCTAGACAAATTGTTAGTGTTTTAACCTCTCAGGGATCCATGTTTGTTACTTTAGTGATTCCCTGACTTTTTCAATTTGTGTTTTTGAGTTAAATGTATTAGCATGTAGCCTACTGGAGGGATTACTATGAAATTAGGTACACACATGCATGTTCCGCTCAGGATGAGTTGTAATAATCCCTTAATTTTTAATCCAGTGCCATTATCAGGTTAGAATTATAATTTGTATTCTTTGAATTATATTTGACTCATTGTCGTCCTGAGTACAGCCTCACAGATAGCTGTCGACTCAACATAGGAACATGGCAGTCTGGTCCAGTACTGCCAGGTTTAGTTATGGCTAATAAATGGTACAAAAGTTCTGCCAATGCAATGGAGAAAATGCCAGCCAGAGCCATGATCTCATCACTCTCATCTATTCTAGTTGAGTTTTTGCAATAATAACAAAACTCTACAATATAGGCTTAACTGCAAAATTTCATCAACATCTTTTCTAGTTGATCCAAGATTTATATCTCTCCTGATATTTTAGAGTGGTAACTTTCCCTTCCTCTTCTACCTTTCCTTGTATCCATTGCATTAAGATGTTGCGATATATGGTTGTCTTAAATGTATGTAAGCCATGCTACTAGAGATCTTTCAGCTGGATCGTTCTACTCTTAGTGACATTATGTTTTCTTTTAATTATTGTTCTATATCTTTTAATTGTTTTCCAGTAGGAAAACATAAACACTTGTTTGAACAAATAAGCAATTCTAAATTTTACTGAGGACAGCCGTTTTGTGTTGGATAAACGTACTCACTGTGTAAAATCACTGCCCTCAGGCCCTGCTGATTCTTGAAGCTATGGCTCATTTGCTTTCTAACGGGATATGATCTAACTCAATGCAGATGGTTGAGATTGGTGACTTGTAGCTTTAATTGAAGGGGGTTATTCGGCCCTATCAGTTTTACTTTAACAGTTCATTTGATATGGCTCAAAATATACTTAGATGAAATCTATCTCTGAAAACTGACCCACTGCCCACACAGCTCTAACAATGAATACTATGCCTACTAACCACACTGCATACTCTTGAGTGCAGCACTAATTCACAGAGCATACTAAAGATACTGAAACATAGACACAGATTTAGTCTTTTTGCGTGCTTAGTAAAGCATCAATTAAATGTCTTAAGACCATGGCCAAGGACAATATATCTCTCTGATCATCTGGCAGGTGTTTGTTAACTCTCACTGGTGAAACAGACCATGTCATGTTTCTTATATAATTTATTCATAAAATAATATAATTTAAAATAAGATTTGTACACAGCTGCTCTTTTTGTTAAGTGGCCATGGTTGAAGCACTCTCTTGCATTTCCCTGTTGTCCTGGCTCATGTGTGTCAGTGTGTATAGGCACTGCCCACCCAGACAATGCTTTTAATTAACTTGGTGGATGTACAGCATTGAAGTTAATAAAAGCTGTGCCAACAAGGTATGCTCTTCTTTTTGTCTCTTGGTGTTATTGATGATTGAAGTCTGAAGTTGATTTATTTAGGGAGGGACAATGCACATTTATTGACATGAGCACTTCAGTCCATCAAGATTTAGCCATATAGACTTATTTTCATGTGCAGGTTCTCCTTGGCAGGTTGGTGGCATATAAGAAAACATACAAAAGCACACAGACAAATAGAACAGTGACATAAATATGTGAGTGCTCACAAAATCACATAAGCACAGAGCATGTAAGGGCTAGATTTGATTAGTTTGCATTTTACTTGAGTGAAACAAATCAATTACTGTCAACTTAACTTTAAAAATCTTTCGAAACCCCAGATTGGTCAAATCTTTATTGATGCAATGTCACCCAAAGAGATTCCTGCTCTTACTGGACTTTAGATACATTGCAGTTTTATGTGAAAGTGATTTTTCTGCTTACCTATGTTTGTTATTGAAGCTGTGATGTCTTCTGCTCACTGCTGTTTGGTCTCCTGTCGATGTGTTTGGGTAACTTACCTCCCAGGGGTATCAACACTTGTTGCCACGCCACATAGCTGCCAAACAAGGAGGGACAGAAATGGCGTCCCTGGTGCAATAAAACCTTATGTCCCTCAGAAAACCAAGACGTGAACATTCCTGCGTACTTCTAGGCAGTAAAATCTTCAGCCAGCTGCAGTGAAAAGGGACACGGCGAGCTGCTCCAGCCTCGACCCCTGGCCTGACCCCGCAAGGGCTCTTCTTTCATTCCACAGGAGAAAACATAGTGTACTGTTTCTGATCTGGAACTGTTCATGCAGGATGATGCAGCAGATTGTGTGATGTACTCCATGAATGACACGGGACACTAAATACACATTCAATCACGGATTTCATTCTAGATTGTTGGACATATACATGTAAACACATTGCGCCATCACGGTTCTTACAAGACACCTGTTGGTCCATACACATTGTTATGTTGTTTTGTTTAAGAGTCGCTAAAATTGGTTGCAATAATTTTTCAACATACGGTAACGATGTAATTTTGGACGAATACTTATAGTATTTTTAAGCTCTGCAGAGTTTGGGGGGAATCACTGTGGGTTTTTTTTTGACACAGCAGCTTAAGAGTGATAGGAAAGTGGGGAGAGACATGCAGCAAAGGGCCACAACCTGGGCCGCTGCTGTAAGGACTTAGCCGTAGGGGGCACAAGCTCAACCAGGTGAGCAACCAGAGAGTTACAGAACTTTATGCCATAAAATATTACCTATAGCTGAGGCTACACAGACTTCTGTAGAATGAATTCATGGTTGGTTTTTGTCTCTTTATGGAAATTAGTGATTAAACACATAAAGTAAAGCATAATTTAAAGTGGCTATAATCAATATTTTTATAATGCCAATGTGACAACAACGTGAGATTACCTGCTCAGCACTTAATGACACACAGACAAATTAGCAACTAGCTGGTAAACACAATGTAGCATTTATCAGCTTAAATGCCACATATTTCCCTCATGAGTTAGTAGAGACCAAAAACAGAGCTAAAAGAGAGGGAATAATGGACTTAAATTCACCAGGTGGCCACAACACACTCAGAAGAAATGATAATGTTGCTCGATAACTGCTGAAAAAAAAGCAACTGTTTACCATAGGTGATAATTACGTAAATGTTGTTTCTATTGCCCTCAAATGGCCAAAAAATATGTTATTGTAAGTTTAAAGTTTTCAAGTTAAACGGGCATTGCCAAACCAGTTCACAAATACGCAAATTAGTCAGGAACAGTTCTTTTTTTTTAAGTAATTTTTTTGGCCTTTTCATGGCTTTATTGGATAGGACAGCTGTAGAGAGACAGGAAAGGTGGGTAGAGAGTGAGGGGATGACAAGCAGCAAAGGGCCGCAGGTCGGATTCGAACCCAGGCCGCTACAGCAACTCCGTATATGGGTCGCCAGTTCTACCGGGCGCCCAGGAACAGCTCATTTTTGATTTTCAAAAGGCATAAACAATAGGTGCAGACCAAAATGCCTCTGGATGCAGTTGGATGACCAATCAGAGCAACAAAACTTGTGGTAAATTAAACTTTCCAAATTCAGTCAGAAGTACAGCAAATACATATTTCTTATCAAGAAAACCTTTAAGTGCAGTTCTTTGTTCTTCTTCTAGAAAAAATATACCAATCAGTTCATTTAATACTGAAATGATAGCGGATCTCAGAGAAACATCAACTGCACCCATCTTGGTTCTTTACAAAAACTTGTCAGCGGCCAATAAAGTAGCACTCCTCTGTACAGTCATCGTACCTTTTTTGTTTGACCTTTCTCATTTGGGCAGAAGAGAAATAAACAGACTTGTAACTAGTATCACTCTGCTGATATAAAGCCAGTGAGCAACCAAAGGAAGCTGTACGGACACTAAACAAGGTCAGCTGACCAGCCAGTAACTTTCCTTTAAAATGCAGGAGCCAACATTTAAAGGTCATGTTTTTACTCTTAAACATCCAAACAAATTATCTTTAGCTTTACAACCTGCAAAAGAGCTAAATCTGACAGCTAAACTAAAATTAACACCAAAACACCATTGCTATGGACATGGCAGACAGACAGACAGCCAGGCGCCTCATAGATCCCTACACATAATATTTTGTGGTGTTCATCAGCTGCCAAAGTTCCTGCCATGACATTATCGATGGGTGTGGCCAGAAGTGCAGAAGTGTGTTTCCTCATTTAAAATTAAGTGTAGATTAACTCTTTAAATAGAGTGAAATCAACCTGGCAGCAGCTGCAACAATGTGTACCGTAGATCATGCCACTTAACTATAGAACAACTGTACATTTAACACATTGTGTATTTTGAACATTTCAGTGAGTAATAGGTTTACTAGTTAGGTTTATAGATTAAATCTATAAGTCTTATTTTACTGTTTGATTTACTGGACTAAAATCAGTACAATCAGGGCTTTTTGTCAGTAAATAATTTCCAAAAAATAATATCTTAAAGGGCCATAAATTGCGAATAATTTTCAGCAAAGCCATTTGGAAAGCAACGAATAGGAAGCTGAACTGTAGCATTTTTAAGCTGTATTAAGTTGTCTCATTAGTGTATGTTCCCTGCATTAGGAAGGTTGACATCCAGGGTAATTTGAACATGTTTAATGAAATATATGCTTGTTATGTGTACTGCTGATAAGAAACTGGTAACTGTATCAATTACGTAAAGAGCTTGTTTAAGAGCCAAATGTTTGAATGCAGCTTGGTGCGAGGACATGAAAGGTGACAGATGGAATTTTTACTGTGGCTTTGACGCACATCAACCACCGCCAGGAGCTTGTATTTCTTCCCTAAGCATAAAAAAATAAAAATATCCTCACCTTTAACAACTGGCATAGTTCAAATTCTGAAACTAGATGCTTACTCTATCGCAAGCACAGGTGCTCGTTTCCTCTGAAAAAATATTTATTTACTTTATGTATTATTTTATGTAATTAGCGTCTGGCCTTTTTCAGATTTAATCCTCATTCTTACAATTTCATCATATTTTGGTCTTTTGTCTTAGAATCCTTTCTTTTATTTTTATATTTTTAAAATTATATTTAAACTTTGAGGTCCTCAGCAAACCATTTACTGTATGTGGTAAATGTACCTGTGTTAATGTGTACAATATTTATAATAAGTATTAATATACTTATTATAACTGTATTCCGAGTAATGCTTCCCATTGTTTCTTACTGGACTACCCCATTGGACAAGTGATTCAAACCGTAGTTATGAGTGTGGCCGCGTGGGGGTACTGCTGTTGGAATTGGTGTTTTCTCCAGAAGATGCAGACAGTGAGGTCAATATTCTTGACAGAGACAGCGGTAGACTGCTCCTGGTTAGCAATATTTCCATGCATGTGATTCATTACAGAAATGCAGTCAAAGTGAAGAGGAAAGGAGGTGACAGATTTCATTTAGTGGAGAGCACACACGGACATTCACACACAGCACTTTGTAATGAAGAGCATGCCGTCCAGTTGTATCGACAGACAGACGTGAAAGCTCTCAGCTGTGATTAGAATTCAGTCTATCAGACCCCCAGACATACAATATAGCATTAATATATAGTACACTGTAAAACCAGGTAAGTTAATTTAACTCAAAACATTGTTGAAACTGATTACATCAAAATCTTTAAGTAACACAAACTCAATTTTTTTAGTTTAAAAAATATTCTTGATTAAGCTGCTTTTAAAAGTAATTTTAAGTGACACTAACTTAATTTTGGAAGTTACAGAATCATTCCTGATTAATGACATTTTACTAGGTGTTTGTTTTCACAGTACAAATACAATTCAGTCAGTGTCACTTAAAATGACAAAAGCTACTTATAATAATAATAATAAATTAATAATTTTTTTTTAACTTACAAAATATGAGTTAGTTTTACTTGATGTAATCAGTTTCAACTTTGTTTTGGTCACACTAGAAATGACCTGTTGCAGTAGTATTGTAGTTTATTCAACAAACACCTTGCAAGTAGTTGGGGTTGATTGTTGGGCAATTGCATCTTGTCTACATCTGTCATCCATCCTCTATCACAGTTTTGTTCCAGGTCTGAGCAACAAATAAATATCTGATAAACATAGTGGTGCAAGTACAACATTTGCCTCTGAAGGGCAGTGGAGTGCAGAAGTATGAAGTAACATAAAATTGAATTACTCAACTAAAATACTAGGGCTAAATTATACTTAAGTACAGTACTTGAGTAAATATATTTCTACACCACTGTATTTCAAGTAAAAAGAAGTCACCTTAAAAAAATGGCACCATGATGCTTGTAAATTTGTCTTGCTTGTCTGCACACAGAAAGTAGAAGTATTTGAAGAAGAAAGTACAGGTATAGAGTACAAAGTGGTCCCTAGTCTTCCACACAAAAAGAATATTAATAATAAAATAAACTACACACAGTATCAATAAAACTATATGAAGGTTCCAAATTAGCAATATAAAATTATTTAAAACTACAGAACGACTGTAGTCCACATGTATTTCTCACAAACTAAGCAGAAAATGATGGTGACCAGCACATAGCCATAGACCTCAACCCCATCTGACACTTTATCAGCCAACATCAGTGCTGAACCTCATGTTGTTGTGGCTGTATGGGAGCAGATCCTTGCAACCACGTTCCAAATATAACATGTTCAATGAGTACATGGCTGTAATGTTCATATGTACGCATACCTTTGGTGATACAGTTATATCTGGTGTATATTTTAGGCTGTAGGCAGAACAGCTGTTAATATTTGATATTTGCTTATATTGATTACTAACAAAGCTTTAGCAATATACTGTATAGTGTGTTGTACAGGCCAATGAGGCTTATTGAATTGGACTGGAGAGAGAGAGAAACAGAGAGAGAGAGAGAGACAGAGAGAGATAGAGAGGAAGAGCTTCCTCATACTTAATTGACTTCAAAAGTTGGACTGGGGTCCGACAGGGCTCTCCGCTTTTATGTTCTACTTGAATCATGGTGAAGGTGAGTGTGTGTCTGTGTGTGTGTCTGTGTGTGTGTGCTGCAGCTGACCATACTTCAGCAGCAGCAGAATTTGAGCCAGATCATTATCTTCTCTTTCTCTTATTTCTTTTCTAATGCTCTCTCGTCTCTCTCTTCTCTCTTCTACCATAGTCCTGTGATTACTTGGTAAAACAGCACTGCGTCGCAGAGAACCAATTTTTCCTAATGCACAGCCTTCACACACACACACACACACACCAACACACACACACACACACACACACACAGACACACAGCAGCCATGGTTATTGATGAGGCATAATGGGGAGGGGGAGGCAACAAGGGGGGGCACACACACTGCTGGAAAATGGGGAGAGACTACGAGAAGAGAGAGAGAGAGAGAGAGAGAGAGAGAGAGAGAGAGAGAGAGGATAGTGGGAACAAGAGAGAAGGACGTGCTGGACAGGGACAAAGAGAGGGACAAGAGGAGAGACAGAAAGGAAAAAGGGACGGAGAGAAGGAGGAGAAGGGAGAAGAGGGACGGGGATGATGAAGACGTAGACATTCAGATATGTAGGCTGTGTTCAGGGAATGGAGCAGGGCGTCCACTTAAAGGGCTAATAAAGCAGAGGACAGAGAGGGAGACAAGGAAGGAGGAAGGATGCTGAAGGGAATACTAAGATCGTCTCTTTCCTCATAGACATTGGAGTAGTTTGACTCCCTGGCCGGTGGAAGAAAAAAGAAAAAAAGGATAAACCCTTCCTTCAGGACAGTTTTACTTTTTGTCAGCCACTGAGAGAAAATGTAATATAAAAAGAGAGAAAGTGACAGGTGGAATGATGCTGATCCTGTATACAGTGAGACAGTCATCATGAAAGATGAGATAGGAGAAAGATAGGAAGAAAAATCTTACATCTCACTCCCGGTGCTTTAGTGGACTGGAGACTTTGATTTCATGGGTGTGAAAGGGTGCATTCTCTACAAAGTCTGGAAATGGACAAATGCAGCCTAAATGATTTGAAATCCTTTGTGTTAAAGGCTGATGCTTAAGAGATGTTTCTACCAAGAGGACTCATCCTACCCATCCAATCTGAAGAAGCTTCTACAACGAGCAACAATTCAAACTAACTGAATTATTGAGAAACTAGTTTGTGTTTTCAGGGGCTCTGGAGAGATGGCTCTTGCAAGGAGGAGGCTGGAAATGCTCAATTCGTCGAAAGAAACTGTCTGTGCATCCAAGGCCAATGGAGATTTTTGAGGACAGCAGGAAAATATATTCTAAGAATCATACAAGAAGAGCAGTAGCTTGATGAGGTTGGGCAAGGTTGCAGCATCGTGGGACTTCTCTCTCTCTCTCTGTGACTCCAAATCCAACAGGAACTCTTAAAAGCTGATCAACCAAGAATCTCTCCTCAAGCTCCTATACAATAACCACCCAGGACATCTTCTGAAGACTTTACCTCTCCCAGGAACTTATCATTAATAATTTGTCTTCCAGGATCTGCTCCTGAAGGTGTGACCATCCAAAGATATCTCTTTAAGGCTCATTACCCATCTAATACCCCTCCCTTTGTTTGAAAACTCTCTGTACAGCAACACATTCACACAAACCTTTCTTTAAGACTTATAATCGAGGAGGAGCCTTTTTTTAATCATAGGAAAGGTTCTGTATCGACCATGATCCTTTCTTCAAGCCTTTAGCCATCGAGGCTAACTTGAGGTTAGCATCAACACCAGGAACTGGAACTTTTTTTTAAAGCTTAATAACTAAATCGTTTGGGTCCTATATTCTCCAAGCAAAAGTCTCCACCTAAATTTAAATGTCTTTAATGTCTATTTGAAATCCCTTTTAAAGCTTAATTTCCTACAAGATACTGTATTTTTATGTTAAATGCCCACTGGGAACTGTATCACTACCCAAAACCCCACTTTAAGGTTTAAATATTCACTCTCCTTTCCCTCTTTTGAAGGGTTTTAAAAATCCACCTTTCTATGAGAACGATTATTAAACTGGAATCTCTTATTAAGGCACTATATTCACAAAGAACCTCTCTTATAACACACTATTCACCAGAAACCTAACTTTAAACATCTACCAAGGAACTATGAATCTATCTACTACTTGAACAACTCCCTTAGTATGAAATTTCCAGGACCCTGTATTTAAAGCTCTCTTTTTAAAGTTTTTTTTCCCCACGAGTAATTCTTTATGGCCAGGGGTCTGCCATAAATCAACCAAGAACTTGTCTAAGTTCTACTGGCTAAAACTGGGACTCTGGGACCTAAAAGTGTGAGGGAAAAAAAGTGAACCAGTTTACATGCACCACTGCTGTCTCACCTTCTAAACTTTCCCAATTCTGCAAAAAATATTCACATCGCCGTGTGTAATTTGCACTGCATCTACAACTGTTACCATAGCAACCGGATCAGGAGCACTGCAGCATGGGACTCAGCTGCTTCAAGTCCTGGAAACATGAAAGTACAGGCCACAAAGGTGAGACACACACACACACACACACACACACACACACCATCAACACATTATCTGTTAATCCCTCCAGAACTCTAGCTGTGTGTGTTTGTGTGTGTGTGTTGCCCTTAAGTGATACCTGTTAAATGCTGACTCAGGATCTTTATGCTTCTATCTAAGGTGACATTGTGTGTGTACGTATGTGCTTCATACATGTATGTGTCTATGTGTGTTTGATGTGACTTTGAGGAGGACAGACAGCAGAGCATGATGGGACATGGGGGAGAAGAGAGGAAAGTGTGTTAATGAGTCTATGCACCATCTCAGGCACAGTGGGGATTAATACATATTTGACGTGGTGCTAGGTGTCCCCATGTCCCCATTTTTTGTTTTTTGTTTTAGTCGTGGTGTCACTTTATTAAGCTCTATTCAGACAAGATTAATATTCCAAGGGAAGCTAGATAACAAAATGTGACACTGTCCTCACATTTTAGCATTTGTTAAAACAGCATGTCTGTGGTATATCAGAAATGGTGATATGATTCATTTTTGTAATGGTCAAATATGTTAAAAAGAACATGCATTATGTCTGTAAAAAATCTAAAATATACTATAACAATGGCTTTGAGCAAAGATTTTGAAATGCACTTGCTATATATATTTATTTATAAGAACCTAAGACCTGACTTAGGCAAGCCCCCTAAAAATACATGTTTGTGCATTATGTGCAGGTAACAGAGACGTGTTGGCCAGCCCAGGCTCGTATTTCTTCCTATCTAACAGCGCCGGTCAGGGTGACGAGTGGCTGAAGAGCCTCAACAAGGGAGTCTGGATTCCTTTCACAGGTATGCCCATGAATACACACACAAACCCACACGCTCTAGATGCTTTCTCGTATGTTCTGCTGGTGTTTCCTTCCCTGAATTCACATAATTCACACAAGCAACCATGCTAATGTTGCAGCAGACAGCTGTTGTTGAAGTATGGCATATGGTGATATGTCATGTGCCTTCTACAGGCAAAAAAAGAAAGAAAATAAATTAAATTCTATGTAAAAGGTTTTACCAGACCATTCATCTTGTTTGTGATTGGATGAGGTGGACCCTGGGCTCCAGAGAGAATCATTACAATCTTCCTCCATTGCAGGGGTCTTTGGATCAGCGTCTGGAGGAGACGGTGCTGTATGAGCGACGTTATGGAGTGCGTTTGGTTCCTCTGGTGGTGGAGCAGTGTGTGACCTTCATCCGGGAGCGTGGCCTGCATGAAGTGGGCTTGTTTCGCCAGTCAGGACAGGCCAGTCTGGTCAAAGAGCTGCAGGAGGCTTTTGATGCAGGGGAGAGACCGTCCTTTGACAGGTACAATACCTTTGCTTTTTGCTTATACTGTTTCCTGATCACGTGTTCTTCAAAGGGTTTTTGGAGTAAGTCAGCTTGCTGTGTGTTTTGCCTGCAGCAGCACAGACGTCCATACGGTGGCGTCACTGCTGAAGCTCTACCTCAGGCAACTGCCGGAGCCTCTGGTTCCTTACAGCCGCTACCAGGATTTCCTACTCTGTGGTCAGAAGCTGTCGAGTGACCGAGCACTGGTAACTGCAGCTCTGTACACTAGCAGCATTAGTTAAAAAGCAACTTAACACACCCTGAAAGTTTTGTCTTTGCTGACCTTCAGTGGTTTAACTCACCTTGCTGCAGTGATGTACAGGTGTACTCCAGGACCCAGTGACATCACTGTTGGGTGTATTTACAGGTGCAGCAGAACACCCTTCTTACTAAACCCCACCACACTTATCAGTGATGCTACGAGTGGTCAGAGGTAAAATAGACTGAAAGTTTCAGAAGGAAACTGATGTTAAGTTACCCTTTAAAGGCACAAACATAGTTATCTTCACTTTTAGTATTTCTTACAGTTTGTCAATTAGCCTTTTAAACTTTTACACTATACAGCTATTCTTTAAAACCTGCATTTTTCGTATCTATGACAAACATTCATCAAAAGATTTCTGTTTGATACCTTAAGTGGTCAAAATACAGGGTACCTTTAAATTGTATTTTTTAAGCATTGCATAAAATAGCGTGTTCACTTTTACTCTCCTGCAGTAAATTAACAACATTTAGCATGTTGGAACCAATACAGGGAGAAAAAAAACATCCCTTCTTCCTTCTTACCTTGTGTTTTTTTATCTCTCCCTTCCTGACTCCCATCCTCTCTCTTCTTCCTTTATCAGGGTATGGGGGAGTTGAGGAATCTTCTTCGTGAGTTGCCAGTTGCAAACTTTAATCTACTCAACTTTATCTGCCAGTAAGACCCCTCCTACCTTGTTATTTATAATGACAGTCTCTGACCAGCTTTTCATTCAAGTGTTTATCTTGTCTGTGCAGGTTTCTAAATGAGGTCCAGAGTTACTCCAGCAGTAACAAGATGAGCAGCCAGAACTTGGCCACTGTGTTTGGGCCAAACATCCTCCGAGCCAAAGCTGAAGACCCACAAAGCATCATGGGAGGTAAACATACAAGCTGCACAGCAGATGAAATGAGATTAGATGTAAAACGCAAGCAGTGTAATTAATGTTTGGAAAATACTGAACATATGATGGCAAATGGAAAGAAGACTATGTTTTTACAGATACAATTATTATTAAAAGTGGGTCTTCATTTTAACCAATGTGAATCCAAGCTGAGTATAGACTCCACACTCTGATCTCTATCTGTGTCCTAGGTGCAGCACTGGTCCAGGTGCTGATGTTGGAGCTGATCAGAGAGCATGAGTCTCTATTCGCCAAAGTCCCCCCATCCATCTCTGTCCGTCCACCTTGTGGTTCGCGTGCATCATCAAGTTCTCTGCTGCAGCCTCATCTCCACCCGTCACCCTGCCTCCGCCAGCTGTCTATGCCTCTCATTGCAGATCGCTCTAGAGAGCCAGGACAGGCCGCCGCAGATGCACAGAACAACAGAAGGTACAACACACCCGCTCTCACAGAAATTTGCAATACAAACATCTCACAGACTCATCCCTCCCTTTCTTTGCCATCTATAGCTGTTTCTACTCTGCTGCTGCCACATCAAACTTGTCCTCTGGCCAGAAGAGACTTCTTGGCCATCGCTACACTTCCAGCCACCCCGAGAACTGCTTTTACCCCCTGCCCTCCTCCAGTCAGCACCAAGCCAACATAGATTATCACCAGCACCACGCTCACCAAGGAGCATCAGCTGCAAATATTCAAGCCTCTACAACCAGCCTCCAGCTTCAAGATCCACTACCTGACAGCTCCAAGTCCAGACCGATGCCCATGGGATGGGCAAAGGCCTGGCCAACCCCAGGAGAGGCAGGCGCTGGTTTCTGGAGCTCTGGTGGTGCAGAGGAAGAGGGTGCACTGCCAGAAAGAGCCAGCGGAGGCAGCAGTGAGGCTCAGGAGGACAGCCCCCTTTCTGCCTATGATAACCTAGACAGAGTGTCTCAAAGTCAGAAGATAAAGGATGTCACTGGTGGACCTCTTGAAACCAATGATCTGGGAGGCCATACTGGAACTTGTGAAGTGGAGGTGGAGCTAGAGGAGGCGGTGCAGACAAGGAACTCCTCCTCTTCCTGGTCTTCCTGCGAGGTTCTACCATTGGACGAGAGTGGTGATGCTGTGGCCATGGTTAGTCCTGACATCTCACCAAAGAGGCCTAAATGGTTGCCTTCAAGTCAGGTAGGAAAAGAGGAAAACAGTCATAATGAGGAACAAGAGGGCCAAAACAATGACAGTGATGATGAGGATGAAGATGACAATGAGGATGATGATGATGACATCCACCCCAACTCCCCAGCCTCTGGTTCTATACTCAGCCCTCTGAGTACAGGCAGCTCAGAGGTATTCCTCCCCTCTGCTCCTCCAGAACTCCATGACCCTGAGTCTCAGTCACATCCCGGGAATGCTCACTCACTGCTGGATGAGCTGCGGCAGCTGATGGCCCAGCAGAAGGCTGAGTACCAGGCCAGGATACAGAGGTGAGACACCAGCACAAGGAGGAAGATGGCATCCTCTCGTCCCCAAACATTATTTATCCACATCCAGTACTTTAGAGTTGAGTATTAAAATCCTAATGTTCTTTGGCATTGGGATTTGCCTTGTTTAGTCAGTAGTATCTAAATGCTGCTCTTTTGTAAACGCTGACATTTTAATAATTTGAATTTTTATTTCACTACATTATAGTAAAAAAAAAAAAATGGTACCAAAGATACATTATGTGCATGATTACCCCTGTGACTGTTTCTCCTACTTTAGTCTAAGCCCCTTATTTCCAATTTTGGGATATTGTAACCTACTGCATTCAATAATATTTTAGACCACAGTGTGTTCCAACCTCATAGCAACAGGTTGGGAATACCCTTTTCTCTTAAAGGAATGGTTTTCCAGTTTAGGTTCTTCTATAGGCTACTATAGAAGAACCTAAACCAAAGTGAAGGCTGTTATGTCTTCGGAATGGTTTTGGAAGGAGATTTTTAAACAGACAAACATTTTTTGCTTAGTTACACCATGTCAGAGACAGTGATGCTTTTAGCTTCTGAAACCATTTACTGTACATGCAAGTCAGAATCAGTTACCATTAACATTAACCTGAATCAATACAAACCAACTTATGTGATAAGCTTAGGGAAGATCAATAAATACGTAGCCTTCGTTTAAACTGATTTATCACAAATGCAACATATAGCTAGGGTTTGTTGTGTAAGCCTGTGTACAGTTTGTACTATATGTGTGTGTGTACTGCAGGTTGGAGCGCTGTAATGATGTCCTTGAGCGGCAGGTTGCAGTACTGCGGGTCAGTCTTGAGCAGCAGAAGCGTAGTCAAAGTGTTGCCGAGATCAAGATTCGCAACATGGAACAAGCCAAAGCTGATGCTGACCTCCGAAACTCCACGCTGCAGAGAGAGATGGAGATGTTCTTCCAGATGTATGGAGAGTTCAGAAGAAGAGGAGGAGACGAAGGCGGAAGAGGAGGAGGAAGTCTCTGAAGATAGATAGAAAGACAAATTCTTGAAGTGTATGGATAGGTTAGAGGAGGATAAAAAAGAAGGGAGGGTTTGTTGCACAGAGCTTGTTGAAAGGGATGGATGGATAAACAATGTGAAAGAGGAAGTGAAAGAAGGTGACTCTTGATAGGAGATCCAACACTGATCATTAAAGAAGGCTGTGAAGGCATCAAATCATGAAGATAAACAGAGCGTTATTACAGAGTTATTGTCTGATCCAGAAGAGAATCTAAATACAAGACAGTTGTGTGTCATTTCAACCAGTTAGCCTCAAGCCAGGTTGGTTAAGTTCATGGTGACCAGAAGAAAGTTTGAATTTGAGGAGCAGTTCCATTGGCAAGCTCCTTCACCTGTGCAGTGAATATGACTTCCCCGTCGTGGGCTGTTTGATTGGTTTACTGGAGCAACAAAGGGACACGCTTAAGTCTTTTCCTGCTTTACGCAAACCAGTTACCAAGCTGTGTCTTTCCAGGAAGCCTGGAACAAGGTATTATTCCACATAAAACCAAGTCTCCTTTGAGAAACCAAATTCCATTCTGAACTGTTCCTGAACAGCAAAGATTTAGAAGAGTACTGGAAACCAAAAGCTTGTCCGGACTATTGGACTTTCAAGGTGTCAGAACTGCTGTACTGCTCACACTGACTGTTATATGCTGATATGGGGGTTCACAACCCACACAATGGATCCCAGATGATTGCAAGATTATTAGTTAGTTAGAGAGAACTGCGACTGGAGTGCATGATGCCGGGATTCCAGCTCAAAGTCAGTACATATAACGCAAGGGAACACTAGCACGGGTATTTGCCCTCTTTGAAGCCATATGTTGTTTTAGAGTGTTTGCTACCTCCATTTTTCCCCAACACCGATTTCTTGACAATCTTATTGGGTACTGCCCAGACTGTCTCAGATTTGTCCCCAAGAACAAGTGTAACCTGTTTTTGGCTACAATAAAATTAAAAATGCTCCATTTGCAACGTTGTATCATCTCAGGACAAGGTCAAGAGGCTCAAACTAGACAAATCGTTAGGATGGGAAATAACGTGGATTCTCTTCTGACTCCATGGGTTTCAGTCTCAGATCTCCAAAATGTATCTGGGACAAGAAAATCCTAGCCAAAGTTGTGTAGTCTGCATTCAACTTCAAAGAACTTCAATAGTCTCCTAGGACAATCCTTGATGTACAATCTTTTTAGTTTGAAGTTCATGTGGGAAATTCAGACAAGATTTCTCAACCCTGAGGTGTCCTGAGGTCAGTTGTTCACAGCTCAGGACCAAAGTCAATGGGAGTTCTGGCTGTGAACAAAATGCGGCATTGCGTCTTGTCTTTGCTGTGATAAATAGAGGGATTTATATGTATTATTAAAGCAATCTGGTTTACTTTAGGATAAATACCTCAGAATTCCCTGGATGTTTTCCAACTGGCTACCACACTGTTAACAATAAGATATTGACTTGATAGTTGATACTATACTAAACTACTTGTTTTTTCAGGAACTAGACTGACTTGCTTTGCAGGAATTCATTTAGAATGAAACTGCATCTCTAACAGATTCAAGGTGAAGATAGTTTTGTTGACTGAAAGTGTACAAATAAAGATACCAGAAGTCCTGTTCACTCTGCATGAAAATGCTTTTCCAATAAAACACTGTTACACTTTACCTGAAAAATAAACTTTAAATCCTCGTTCACAGATAATTCAATCAAAGAACCTTTTCAGTGTATTTGTCAGTTTTGAACATTTATGTGTCTAGTGGGGATGGTTGACTACAAAATCAGATTGTCTACTAGATTACACAGGTTGTGTTTGGGCACAATATTCTCTTAAATGTGACTGCTCAGGATATGGACGATAGGACCAGCAGGAAGCTCCTCTCCGACTTATGATGGAGGAGCAGCGAGCTAAATGCCAAAAAGACATTATATACCTTCCATTGAGGAAGCAGTTTTGTTTATTTGTTTGAAATAAACCTGATTTTCTTTATTCCTAATTATGTGCTGTAGAAAAAATAAGATGAGAACTTTTGTTACTGAATGGTGAACTGATGTCTAGACGCTGAAATAAATTACTACAGATCCACAGGGAATATTCATATGGCAGACAGTTTACTATTACTGTTCTGCTTTGTCAAACTCAGTGGAAGGGAACAGAGGAGGTGCCAATCTGCTGTAAAAAAAAAACAAAAAACTTTTCATACCAGAAACGATGAAGCACCAACTTTTGTTTTTCTGATGGAAATTTAACATTTATTCTCAATTTCCAGACTGTTGAGGCAAAGAAAAAGAAAACAGTACAGAGACTGTACAAATCAAAGAAAATGTCTCTGAACATCCACTGGGAAAAATGTGGAACAGAAACAGAAACTGTAATAGACTCACTACCATACAGATGTGATACTTCACAGTCAGGGAGAGATTTAAAGGGAACAGCGTCACTTTAAACACAGAGCACTTGTGAACACAAACTAGGTAACAACAAAATTGAACAGAGCAGAAACAGTCATATTCATTTAATATTTACAGCTGCTGACAACAGAGTGTGTTTTCTGTCCAGCTTTAAGATCGTTTGTCAAAATAAAAAGAAAACTGACAACATTTGATTGACACCACAGCAGTTACAGGTGGCAAATTACTTGCATTTGAAATATTTACTCCATAAAACAGACAACCTCTTCCACTGCTGTGGTACATTACACAGATCACGAGCCAACAGAGTGTTTCTACTTAATAATAAAAGTGCAATAATAACAACAACAACCAGCCCTACATTTCATTTAACAGGTGAATCATAGTGCTTATTAAGCACTTTGAAGCTTTACACACAACCACAGCATCTTGCAGGAACCTTGTATGAATATGCATTTATTAGCAGTAAGCTAGCAGTTCTAAAATAAACCCTGTATTTCAGTCATTTAATGTTATTGTAAGGCAAGATGTTTCCCTTTTTCTGAGTGACACAAGGTTTCTGCAGGATCTGGCCAGTGGTCTCTTTAGTCAGTTAAGCACCAAAACTCATCAGAAACAGAAACAGGAATCCTTCATATGTAACCATGGGTAGAAAAAAATCTGAGCTCACACACTGAACCTTTAAAGAGACTCTAAACCTCTTCTTCTTTTTGGTTCTTTTAACTTTTCTGTTTTGACTCCAGTAATGGAAACACTGGACCATGTCAATGTGTGAGTCTTGGTCACATGTAGCTCTGATTTCTGCAAACACACACACACACACACACACCAGGTGGTCATTTTTTCTTCTGATCCTAAAAGGAACAAAATTTGTTGCTACTGTAGCAGATAAAAAAAAAATCTTAATCTATACACTAAAACAGCAAAAAAAAAAAGTGTAACGCAAAACAAGTGGAACGTTTCAGTGAGCAGGAGTCAAATTTCCAAGATTTCCTGAGACAGAATTTGTACAATTTTCTATGGATCTTTTTTGTTCAGTTGGTTTTATTGGTATTAAACTACACTTAAGCCATTTGTTAGACATATTAATCCCACCCTGCTTAGTGAAATGCCCCTTTAAGAAGAGACAGGATGTAAAGACTATCAACTCTGAAGCAGAGGAGGTTTTTTCTTGCATTAATTTGCATCCTGGTGAGCAGATAACAGAGCTAGTCTCTGTGGTGGGAAGAGTGGGGATAAAGTGCATTTACAGGGATATCCTTTTCAATCAGGGTCACCTTCATCTTCACCTTCACCTTCAACTGGGCAAAGTTGTCAGTCAGTGGTCCACTAGGTTATCTGGACTCAGGTTGATACATGCTGAATTTGTTAACTTGAGCCCATGTTTATGTGAGCATGCTGCAACTGGATGGAACAGTTAAAAGGGTGAAGGATCGCAGAGAGTTGGATTTTATAGCCAAGCAACACAGTAAATGCCACAAAGCAGTGCAGATGGGAAACTGTCTACATTTTTTTTTTTAACCAGAGTTGTTTCAGTGGTGAAGATGGTGGACAGTACAATGGCTATCTGAATGTGGGTGCTGCTGTTAAAGAGGTCCCATAAAATGACTTTTAGATTTAGGTTTAATGTGGTTTTTATATGAAAAAAAAAGACTGCAAAATGGACACTGATAATAGCTGCTTCCCTCCAAAACTGACTGTTACTGAGGAGGAAGACAAGACCGAGTGAAATGTCATGACCGGCACAATTAAGAGCAGATACTTTGGAGCCATCGTCAGCAGACAACTGTGCTACTAATATTGAGGATGTTGCAAACCGGCACCAAAATTCAAGCCTATGTATTCGTAGCTAGCGGCAGTTAGCTTCAAGTATAATTCCACAACACAACCTGGGTCTTGCTTTTGTGGTTTTGACCATCAGTAGTTATTTAAGTTCTGGGAACACGCAGACACTGATGCAACAAAGTCCGGTGGGGCAAGAAGCAACGGTCAGAGGATCCTACAGGTTGTAAACAGTTTAGCCAGATTAATTAATCCACTTCGCTGACTGGAAAACCATACAACTACAGTAGTTACAGTAGGTCAAAGTTGACACAGGAACTCGGTCTGTAAACTATGATGGTTGTGTACAACAAACACTTTTTCAATTCCTCCTTGTTTTCTTCTCTAACCTGGGGCTTTGTTTACAACCCGTCTCATCTGACATCTTTTTAAAAATATTGTTGCTATTCCAGATGTCAGTTATTAACTTGTTGAGTGCAGTGTTATTATTAATGTACAAAACTACAAAAATCAGACCAAAGTTGTAATAACGTTAATATTTGAAGGGGTCAGTTTGCTCACCCCAAATTCACTGGATGGAAATGCCATCTCAGGTGCAAGACGTCAACATTTGAAAGCAGCTGAGTTGTGTAACAATATGAGAGAGAAGCTTTCATTTTATGGGACCTTTAGCGTCTGAGTGACGTGCAGCTTTGATGTCATGTGACGTGTTAGAAGCCAGAGGGCGTCAGGATGTTCATGTCTCTGTGTTTGATCTTGTGCGGTCGAGCTCCCTGACGTCGACCCTCTACTGTGGGAATCTCCATTTTGGGAGGGGCCGCCGCCTGAGCAGCAGGGTTGTCACCCAGACGCGTGGCCTGTGACTTCATTACCTCCATGGGGGATGGCTTCTGGGCACCACGGTACGCCTGCAGCGCAAAGCCTGCTGGGAAGACAGGAAAGAAAAGGATTTAAATAAAATGGACTTAACTGTAATGATGATCCAGATGTAAACTTTTATATTCAAACTGAAATGAAACGTAATTCCAACTCTTCAAAAACTCTTTAGGGAACATATTAAAATAAGTGATGCAGATGGTGCATTTGGGTTTAGCAGAAAACCGGACTGTTGGTGGATGCTTGTGCTCTCGAATGTTGTCTAGCACACTGTGTATTATTGGATTGCTCAACACGCTGGTGAAGGATTAATGTTCTGACAGTTTAACATGAAGTTTGCACAGTGATCCAGATTTGACCACTAAGGACACCCGGTTATTTCATCACCAAAGAGGAGGAACACAGAGAATGGAAAAGTAAATACTGGTAGTAAAGAGAAGTTCATGCATGCTTTAAAAAAACATAATTAAAATTAAACTGAATTAATTCAAATATACTTTTGTTTTTGTGTCCATCGGTAACTCACACACACACAACTATATTCTCTAATGTTTTTTTTAACTTCCCTTTATGTTTTTATTCTCAGAGGTATTTCATTGATTCTTCCTTGCAGTGACGTGTTCTTTCTTTAACAATGTTTGCTTCTCTTATGTTGAAATATTTAAATGCTTTTTTGTAACTCAGAAGCATTTTTCAAGCCTGATTTTGAAAAGTGCTATTATAAAGTTTTACTCTTTTCAGTTAAAACTGTGACCTTTCTTAACAGTTGTATGCATGAAAATGCATACAAATATTCATACAGTACTTTGATAAGATTGTATTTAGGAATGCCAATAAATGCCTTGATAAAGTCTGAAACCAGTGCTTTCCTCTAGTCCCAGGGCCGCAGTGCCTTATATATTATTATCTGTTCAAACAAAAAATGTTTTCCCATTAATCCCCAAATTAAAAATATCTGTTGTTTAGGTCTCTGTGTGTTCTAGTTACAATAAGGAATCCCTACTAATAATGAACATATTCTGTTAATGCTGTTATTTTACTGCAGCACCCCCTATTGAAAATGTCAACGTCTATCTAGTTATGCATGTTAACGTAGATAAAAAAAATACAACACAGGTTATTGCGAGTTTCCTGTCATACGGTGAATGATATCAATCAATTATTTGAAACCTTTTTTAGCTGAGAGATGAGATATATAATGTATTCCTTCCATCCTCAAACTAAGCTCCACACAAACCTCTATTAGTTTTCTTAAATGACCTACCCAAAGTCATCCTGGAAAAAAGATTTTAAAGGTTTCCAAACAGTCTGAATCGTCCCACATGTGAAAATCTTAATGTTCTTCAGTGGCTGTCAGTGACTGCAATTGAAACGTGTCTGATCTTTTATGTCACTGGGATGCAGAAAAACTGCGTAACTACTGTCAATAGTCAATATGTAAACAGATGCACGGGGCTGTTAGCTCCAACTTTTGGTCAGTGTTTACTATCAGTCTGAAGGTCATTTGTTTGCCCACTAAACCAAATCCTGTTTATATGGGACAAAAAAATAATATCACCATTCACCAAGTGTCTTCACACCTGAACAGACAGATGGAGGTGTTCAAAACGGTGTTTACTGGGATTGCTTTGAGGTTATTTTTAAGTGTTTCCAATTTTAGTTTGGTTTCTTTGTTTGTTAGTAAAAAAAGAAAAAGATACCATTGGACTTTGGGCTGCCAATGCTGTTTACCTGCATTTGTGTTGTGCTCTGATTCCAGGTCAGAGGTCGACTTCTGTACAAGCGGCCGCGGCCCAAACATGCTCCACCGCTCCACCACGCCACCTACACCTCCTCCCCCTCCCCCTCCGACTGCGTCTCCCAGGTCCACACTGCTGTTGGTGGAGCTACCGCTGACCTCTGAGCTTGTACTGCCGAACCAGGCCCTACACAAACACACAAGAGTTTATACATGACCAGGTTATAGATTCGTCAGTGTTTCTTTAATATAAAACAGGATTTAGACCACAGGACGGTGGATAATCCTTGTGTAGGCGTGTACCTGCGTTGTTGTTTTGGAGAGCTGTGTGGTGTGTTGGATGGAGTGGACTGGGTGGAGGAGGTCTGCCGCTCTTCTCTGGTCTCCATGCTCCGGATTTGCAGTTTCTAAAAAGCAACAACAAAACAGGCTTCAGTCTAAAGTAAAATCTTAGATGGATGAAGAGGTAGATTTCACTTTCATGGACCAGAACTCTGGACTTAAAATAGTATTAATCGGCTACCGACAGTAGCAACACTGGCAAATCACTTTATTATTACTTCTTATAGAGGCACTCTATATAGAAAAACTTGTTGGGAGTATATAACACATCTTGGTTGTACATATACGATGTGATCTGTGTGTTTAAGTGTGTATCTTACATGTAGGGATTCTGGAATCCGGTGGTGGTGTCTCGTCTCCTCAGCGGTGAGGCCTTTGTGGGGCGTGTAGCTGGTGTCAGTGAGACCCACCCTCTGCTCAAACTTGTACACACTATCCTGTGTCTGCTCTGAAATGGAGAGAAAGAAAATTGTTTTAATAATAATTGTTGAAAGCAGCAGTTTATCTTTTAAATATCAAAGATTCAATTCCCTGTAGCATTAGAAGGTGGCTTTAAGATGCTTAAAAAGGTTTTTGGCATCCTGAATCCTGGTGATTACAAATCGATTGATATAGATATTGACATTTTTTCATGTAATAAAAAAAAAAAGGAATCAAATATCCACACAAAATTATGTAACATACTGGTGATGAGAGAATTCATGATGACAGAGGAGGCCTTGGCTTTCACTACACTTGGTGACCTGGAGGGGGCGCTGTCCGGCCCTGTAGACTGACTCACAGCACCAGCCTCATCCTCCTGGTGGATAAAAACACACCATCATCATACACTGCATCACACTCTTCCTCTTGATGAAGCAACAGATCATTTAATAGTAAAGCAGCTGTGTGCGTGTGTTGCGGAAGCCCCGTCTCACCTCAGCCAGGTGCGAGAACCTCCTTTCCGGTATGATGGGTCGTCTCCACAGGTTGTTGATGCTGATGTCGTGGGGGGGCGTGGACATGGGGGCCTCCAGGTTATCGTCGTAGCTGAGGGCTCGTCGGGTCATCCCAATGGGAAGCTTCATCCCGCCCATCCCGCCCATCCCGGGCCCCTCTAGGGCTGCAGACACAAAAGGACAGCAGCTTTATCTTTCTGTTGCTGAGAGTGTGTCACAGTAATACTAACACAATAATAAATGATTGAATTTTCACTTGAGGAGAAGGTTGAGCGTAATGACTTTTTAAACAGGTTTTTTCCAGTAATTTATTAACTATTTGTGGAAATATGTTCTTAAAGCTAACAAACAACACGTCCTGTAAGCTTGTCAATATTCAAACAATCCGGTGAAAATCGTGTATGCATGTTATTTTGTTTTATTATTTTGTGTAAACTTCATAGGCCAAACATGATCAAAACCAGGACACAGTAAGACTTAGCTGTGGGACTTTTAGAGCCAGTGGTTAGAGATATTAATAGATACTTTTAAACAATGTGTGATTCAGTGTGACTCAGTATGAATGTGTGATTGTGTGAGCTCCAGTATACACAAACTTGTCTGCTGCGAGAGACAAAACAATCTGCGGGATCCTGTTATGTGTGTGACGCAACATGTTAATCACTATTTTCTCTGACCGCCTCCAATATGTAGTTACCAGAATGATGCCTTCAAGTTCAAATTCACGGAAAAACATACAGAAGGCTTTAGTGAAACGATACGGCGGGTAGGCGACAACTGATTGAGGCCAGTGTCTCAGAAAGATGAAGAAAATGTAGGTGGGGTAGATTATACATAACAGTGCTACGGTCAGCGTTCTAATTCATCCCAAAGTTGGAAAAACAGGAAGAGGCCTTCCCCAAACTGTTAGGAGCGAACCATTGTTGAAAATGTCATTGTATTTTGTAGCATTAAGCTCTGCTTTCATTGACAACAAAGCGACCCAGCCCTAACCATGAAACACAGATCCAGATTATAAGGTCATGACTTCAGCTGCAAGAAATACTGACCTGGTAAGTCCCCTGGGCCAGACATGATTCCAGTAAGACAATGAACAAGATCAACCAGGGCAAGACCTGGAAAAAGAGAAGTTTCTGCATGATTACATCTACATAAAGGGGTAATTAACAGAAAACGACTCTTTCAAACACTTTCATTCTGCAACCCGTCTCCATAAATATCTACTTTCAGCAGATTACAGCAGCAGTGTAGGAGAGACATACAGTCACACAGTTGAATGAGCTACCTTTCTGCTGTGTTGCTGTGATGTGGACTGGCTGGTGAATTGGCAGCAGCGATGGTTACGTCGGTCTGTCAGAGACACACAAAAGCCTCTGGCAGTGCATTGTGGGTAGGCAGTCAGGCCAGGGAAGGAACTAAGGAGAGAGCAGACGTCACCACAAAGGAAAGAAGTGACTTTATTGCAATTGCAAAGTAAACTGTGTGACAATTCATTCATTTCATTTGAAGGCAACCCTTGTTACACTGTAATCAATATACATCAAATTACCATGTTTCTAAAAAACTGTGCGGTGAAACCGTAAGTAGTTACATTTACCTAAGAAAATATCTTACATCTGGAAAAATGTTTTCTGAATTCAGCCTTGCGTTTTAGGAATCTTAATAAAAAAACCCACATTGCATTAAAAACAGAAAAAAAAATGGCATTATTTGTATAAACGATGGATGCATTTGTAATTTTGGACTGACTTTCGGTCATCTCCACACGTGAAAAAGCCTTAAAAAGCGTACATGTGTGGTGGAGAAAATGTTACTTGATAGCATTAAAGAGAGGACAAAGACAGAGTTGATGTATGAAGGGATCTTAGGGGTCTTATCCTCTGTTATAACCAGCACAGCGGATGACTGCAGGATTATTGGACAGCATGATGGCAGACAGGCTGGATTACATAACTCCTGCTGCAGCAGCAGGCGGCTGCTTCCCTGACAGAGACATTTACTTCAAAACTCAATCTTACATTCTGTCTTATGGGGTTAATAAAGTAAGCCTTGCAGTTTACCCAGTAGGCCTAACAGAGCAGACTTACTGGCAATTAAAATGATGAATATAACCAGAAGATTATGTCACGCAGCTAGTTTAGCAAATGCTTCAGGTCAAATTAAATGTTTAATATAATTCCATGCTACAAAATAGGAATAAAACACCACACACTAGATGATATATGGGAAATATACAGACATAAACGGTGACAAATATGAATGGACACATGCAGAGATGCGGTTTTTAGCTGCTCAGCATCGCTTCACTAAACGAGCCCTCTCTATATAACCAGCATATTGTTTAGAAATGTTTAGTACAATCGCATTAGAGAATGAAATACGAAGTCATTTAGAGCCGATAAATGAATGAAATGAGCAGATGAATAAGCAGATGCTGCCAGAATCACCCAGCAGAGATGCTACAGCCACGTAATCGCTGAACTCCATTCACATATTCGGTGTTTCGTTAATATTATTATTTTTTTTTTACTAAAACACTGCTTGGTGTATTTTAACCCACCCCGAATTGAACACTGTTTGCTACACATTCACAAAATGTCTGCAGACTAGATTTAACATTCACATACGTCAACCGAGAAGCGTTGCGACGTTCAATTGTGTGTTTTTAGAGTGGAGTTTGGTAGCAGCAACAAAAAAAAAAAAAAGAAAAAGATAGCGGAACCAAACGGAGCTGAAGGGCAACAAGAGGCCGAGCTGCAGGCGACAAACGACGGTAGATAACGCTGCGTTGCTAGGGTAGTCTGGTTTATTATCTCTCACCGGAGGTAGTGGCGGCTTCAGGGCGAAGACAAAAACACCGGGGACCCTCCAATGTCGACTGGGGCGTTCAGTACACGGCGGTGTTGTTGGGTAGCAGCCATTATTGTGTCCGATAAATAAAAGCCGCTTCCTCGATGCGACGGTAAATTGCGTTACCAGTTCTCGCTGCGTAACGCGAGAGCACAGTTCAAATATGCGTGATAGGATAGCAGATATGTTGAGTTATCACAGCCAGAAGAGCACATGTGTAATCAATAACACTGATTGATAATGGCTCTGTTCATTTTAGTAAGCCAGCATGCACAAATATAAGCTAAACATTATAAGATAAGATAAGATAAGATAAGATGAGATA